AAGGTGTTTGTAGTGGTGGTGCTGGTAGCAGTTATGGTGATGGGGATGGTGGTGGAGGAGAAAGGAACAGGCGGCGCTATATAATCATTTATGATTATATATATATATATATATATATATATATATATATATATATATATATAAGGTGAGGTTTAATAGAGAACCTTAATTAACCAAGGAACCAATCTTTTTTTCAACATTTAGAACTTATTTTTTATAAAAAAAAAACTAAAAATACAAAAATTCATAACTTTTTATCATTTTTCCAATGATATCAAATTCAATTTTTTTTTTCAATTCACATTGTGAATCTTGAAAATTCACAATATGAATCTAAATTCACTCGGTGAATCTGAAAAATATTTTTCACATTCACAGTGTTAAGTTATGAATTTAGATATTTTTAGATTTTTTTCGATAAAGAATAAGCTCTAGAACTTGAAAAAAAGATTTGGTTCCTTTGAGAACCAATAATTATGGTTCTCTATTAAACTTTTCCATATATATATATATATATATACACACACACACACACACATTAATTAGTTTAATGATAGATCTAACATAAAAATATGTTTAACAACTAAATATATGTAAAAGCTAAAATTAATTACCTTTTTGAAGTCACAAAGATATAAAACCTAATGTAAAATTAAAGTTTCTCCTTAATAAATAATATTTTTTTTGCTACATATCACATTCTCATTTATTTTGCCACGTGTAATTTTTTGGTTATTTTAAATTAATTGTTATTCCACATGTCATTTTATGGTTTCTTCATTTTATTAAATTCTAGATATCGCCACATCGCCAATTACCAGCTCGAAAATGTTCAACGAACCGGATACTATCATACTCATCCCTACTTCGGGTACTAGATCTTTGCTCCATCCCTGATCCATTACCCGCTAAGCTAGGGATCCCTAATATGTTCCGGTCGGGTCCTCATAGTAGTGGGGAATACTATATCCATTTGCATCCCTAGTGCTCAGTTCATAATAAGTTCTCCATAAATAAAAATACAAAACAAGTCTATCAGGGACAAAAAGTCAGTTCCTACTCATCTTGCCATACGTACAAAATTAGTGTTATTCTATTTGAGATTAAAATTTTGTCTATGAAATGTTTTATCGAAATAGTATTTGTGACTGATACATCCGATGATATATGGTATATATGACTAAATAATATGCCTGAAAGACTAAAATCCAACCCTTAATGATTTCCATCCAAAGTTAAAAATGGCTAGTCTATCCAAGATTGAATTTTAGACCTTAATAAGTTTCCTTCGTAATAGTATTCCTAACTAAATTTACCAGTCTCTGATATATGGTATTTATGACTAAATAATCAGTCTTATATACTAAAATTCAATCAGTTATAAGTGTTAATTCTAATGGCAAATAATGCATGTCTATTAGGGACTAAAATTCAGTCTTTAGAAAGTTTCTCATCCAAATAATAGATTATTGTAGTTCTATTAGTAATTGAAATTTAGACCCTAATAAGTCTCACACACAATCAAAACTGACACAAATCTATTAGGGGTTGAAATTCAGTCCCACATAGGTTTCCCTTCAAAGTCAAAGTTGGCTTTAGACTATTATAAATGATAGAGGTGACAGTGGTGAGGTCAACTGATGTTAAAGGTGTTTGTAGTGGTGGTTTCGGTGGCAGTTATGGTGATGGGGATGGTGGTGGAGGAGAAAGGATCAGGCGGCGCTATATAATCATTTATGATTATATATATATATATATATATATATATATATATATATATATATATATATATATATATATATATATATATATATATATAAGGTGAGGTTTAATAGAGAACCTTAATTAACCAAGGAACCAATCTTTTTTTCAACATTTAGAACTTATTTTTCATAAAAAAAAAACTAAAAATACAAAAATTCATAACGTTTTATCATTTTTCCAATGATATCAAATTCAATTTTTTTTTTCAATTCACATTGTGAATCTTGAAAATTCACAATGTGAATCTAAATTTACTCGGTGAATCTGAAAAATATTTTTACATTCACAGTGTTAAGTTATGAATTTAGATATTTTTAGATTTTTTTTCGATAAAGAATAAGCTCTAGAACTTGAAAAAAAGATTTGGTTCCTTTGAGAACCAATAATTATAGTTCTCTATTAAACTTTTCCATATATATATATATATATACACACACACACACACACACATAAATTAGTTTAATGATAGATCTAACATAAAAATATGTTTAACAACTAAATATATATAAAAGCTAAAATTAATTACCTTTTTGAAGTCACAAAGATATAAAACCTAATGTAAAGTTAAAGTTTCTCCTTAATAAATAATATTTTTTTTGCTGCATATCACATTCTCATTTGTTTTGCCACGTGTAATTTTTTGGTTATTTTAAATTAATTGTTATTCCACATGTCATTTTATGGTTTCTTCATTTTATTAAATTCTAGATATCGCCACATCGCCAATTACCAGCTCGAAAATGTTCAACGAACCGGATACTATCATACTCATCCCTACTTCGGGTACTAGATCTTTGCCCCATCCCTGATCCATTACCCGCTAAGCTAGGGATCCCCAATATGTTCCGGTCGGGTCCTCATAGTAGTGGGGAATACTATATCCATTTGCATCCCTAGTGCTCAGGTCATAATAAGTTCTCCATAAATAAAAATACAAAACAAGTCTATCAGGGACAAAAAGTCAGTTCCTACTCATCTTGCCATACGTACAAAATTAGTGTTATTCTATTTGAGATTGAAATTTTGCCTATGAAATGTTTTATCGAAATAGTATTTGTGACTGATACATCCGATGATATATGGTATATATGACTAAATAATATACCTCAAAGACTAAAATCCAACCCTTAATGATTTCCATCCAAAGTTAAAAATGGCTAGTCTATCCAAGATTGAATTTTAGACCTTAATAAGTTTCCTTCGTAATAGTATTCCTAACTAAATTTACCAGTCTCTGATATATGGTATTTATGACTAAATAATCAGTCTTATATACTAAAATTCAATCAGTTATAAGTGTTAATTCTAATGGCAAATAATGCATGTCTATTAGGGACTAAAATTCAGTCTTTAGAAAGTTTCTCATCCAAATAATAGATTATTTTAGTTGTATTAGTAACTGAAATTCAGACCCTAATAAGTCTCACACACAATCAAAACTGACACAAATCTATTAGGGGTTGAAATTCAGTCCCACATAGGTTTCCCTTCAAAGTCAAAGTTGGCTTTAGACTATTATAAATGATAGAGGTGACAGTGGTGAGGTCAACTGATGTTAAAGGTGTTTGTAGTGGTGGTGCTGGTAGCAGTTATGGTGATGGGGATGGTGGTGGAGGAGAAAGGAACAGGCGGCGCTATATAATCATTTATGATTATATATATATATATATATATATATATATATATATATATATATAAGGTGAGGTTTAATAGAGAACCTTAATTAACCAAGGAACCAATCTTTTTTTCAACATTTAGAACTTATTTTTTATAAAAAAAAAACTAAAAATACAAAAATTCATAACTTTTTATCATTTTTCCAATGATATCAAATTCAATTTTTTTTTTCAATTCACATTGTGAATCTTGAAAATTCACAATGTGAATCTAAATTCACTCGGTGAATCTGAAAAATATTTTTCACATTCACAGTGTTAAGTTATGAATTTAGATATTTTTAGATTTTTTTCGATAAAGAATAAGCTTTAGAACTTGAAAAAAAGATTTGGTTCCTTTGAGAACCAATAATTATGGTTCTCTATTAAACTTTTCCATATAGTATATATATATATACACACACACACACACACAAATTAGTTTAATGATAGATCTAACATAAAAATAAGTTTAACAACTAAATATATGTAAAAGCTAAAATTAATTACCTTTTTGAAGTCACAAAGATATAAAACCTAATGTAAAATTAAAGTTTCTCCTTAATAAATAATTTTTTTTTTTTGCTACATATCTCATTCTCATTTATTTTGCCACGTGTAATTTTTTGATTATTTTAAATTAATTATTATTCCACATGTCATTTTATGGTTTCTTCATTTTATTAAATTTTAGATAATATTTAAACGAAATAATAAATGCATATTAATTTTATTAATGAACTTTCCTTCTAATTTCATATTTACTAAATTAAAGATTCATCAATTTTATTAATTTATTTATCTAAATTATTTGTTTAAATATAAAGGAGAAAAAAAAGACTTTAATTTTTATGATTCAATATTTTCTTACTTTTAATATAAATTCATAGTTATCAAATGTTTAAAATTGTATATTTCGGTTTTTCTTTTAAATAAATCCATATAATACACGAGTCTCACTAAATTGAATATGAGTGGAATTAAACGTGACGGTGAATAGACTTAAGCACCATACCCTATCCGTGGTTACAAAATTAATTGAACTTTTATAATAAAAACTCAAAATTATTAATTAATTATTTTAAATAAATTATTAATTAAGAGATTTTTTTAGTTATATAAAATTATAATAATTGATTTAATAAAATATGTGAAATTATATCACTTTATAATTTGTATTAATTTTATTTTAATTTTTATTCTAATGTTATTAATTTAATATAATTAGAGTGAGAAATTTAAATTTTGAAATTTGAAATGAAGAATCAATAAGTTGACAAATAACATATATTAATTAGAAGACACAGTATGACATATAACAAAAAGAGAATACCATATATATTAATTAGTACACGCAATAGAATGATATATGTCACTTTTTTTTTTTTTTTAATTAGAATACAGAGATAGAGATTTGCAAAAGAATGTGTGCTTAAAACTTTAAACGATTAATGAACCTAACTTGCCAAGAGTTCGTTATAGGGACCAATGCGTACCAAAATCAACTTTAATGGATTAAACGTGCGAATTCGTGAAAATCCATTAACAGCCTTGAAAATGATGTCCCGCCTGAACGACGACGTTTTACCTAAGTGTTGCCACTTTACACCATACCACATAACCTGCTCCATATATCATTCCTATCTGCTGTCGTCTCTCTCACCGACCAAGCAAAGAATCAAAGATATTCATGGAGTATTTTCAAAGACTCGCTATTCTCGCTCTCATCCTCCTTTCAATCTTCTGCATCAACCACACAGTCAAGTGCGATGGTATGCTCACTTTCTTGCTTTTAATTTCATTTCTTGATTTACTCGAATTCGAAAAGAACCAGCATTAATATATCAAATCTACTTAATACCTTATGTTTGTAGATCATGATTCACGAACTTCTGATTTTTTTTCATGAACTATCTGCACATTTGAACTTGCTATTTTTTTCTCAAGCTGAACTACTTTTCGTATTTTACTTTTCCCTGTTTGATTCAAGTAAAATTTCTATCGCGAGCTTGAAATTAAGCGTGGGGAAAAACGGATTCGAATAAACGATAAGTGAGACTTGGATCTGGTTGATTTCTTTATGATTTATGTCGGTGACATTTTTTGCTTTATGGAGATCTAAACTTGTCGACATAGCCTTGAATGTTCTTTTTATATTTTTGAACATTTCGGTGGGTGGTTAATCGAGTATATCATTGTTCTTGCTGATTCTTGAACGCAATGAATCATCTCTTACTCTTTCAATCAGTTAACGTCTCCTATTACAACCGAATCCAGCATTTCAAAAACTTAATTGGGGAATAATCCAATTTTCTCAACTCGTGTTTCTCCTTCCTTTCCTCTTGAAGCTATATTCATTCAACAAATCAGTTCCATGAAATAAAATGATATAACTTTTCATAATCTTATACAGATGAAGAAGACAATCTATTTTCCGCCATTAACAGCTACCGTGCAACCCTAAACCTAACAACCCTAACACAAAACGACCGAGCAAAATGCCTTGCTGAAAAAATGGCCGACCAATTCAAAAACCAACCATGCACAAACACTACAGGTTCCAACACAGTTCCAGGCACAGAACCAGAGTTCTCAAGTTACCCTGATTTTCTAAACAAATGTCATTTAAATGTCAGCACCACAAGAGATGGATCTGTTCTTCCTGCTTGTGTTCCTAATCTTGATGCAGGCCTTGTAATCTCTAATTACACTCAATCCCAATATTCTGGGTTTTTGAATGACACCAAGTATTCAGGGATTGGGATTGGTTCTGAAGATAATTGGATTGTTGTGGTGTTGACTACAAACACACCTGAAGGTGGTTTTTCCCCTGGTAGTAATGCGGTAAATTTTGTTTCCAAGATTGGTCCTATGCATTCCTCGGTGTTTCTGGTTGTGGGGTTTCTTTTGTTTTTGTGGGTTTGAATGGTGTATGGTTGTTTGTGTTTTGTTTTGAAGTTGTATTAACACGTAGTTGTAGAGGGATTACTTATTGCAATATACTTTTGACCTTTTGAATTTTGCATGGAAGTTTCGGTTGTTTTTTGTTGGTTATATCTTGTGTTCGATTTGTAAAATTTTTAAATTGGAGTTGGATAGCGAGTTTGTAGAGTCCCTATGCTATTCTGGCTGTGTTTGTGTAGTTTGTTATACTGGAAACTCACACACGAGTTTCACACTGTTTTACCTAGGACATAAATTAGAATTTTATTTTTGTGATGTGGGGTCTCAATTCTCAAATATATTTAGAGGTGGATCATACCCAATGATCCGATATGTCCTAATGTGGGTAGACCCAATGATCCAATATGTCTTAACATGGGGGTTTGAACCCTGTTGGCTTTGATATTATGATATATACGGTGAGTTCTTGATATTTTGTCCAAAAGAGTCATAATAGAGACTCCCAATATATGTGGTGGTCGATTAGATTATTTTTAACTGATGTAGGTCTCCAACAACCTTATTGATATTATTCCTATTCAAACTATAGTTTTGATTAGTGCTTAATATTTTGTGCAAAAGAGCCCTAACAGAAACTCATAACATATATAGAGGTCGATTAGATTGTGTGCAGCTGATGAGGGTCTTCAACAACCTTATTGATATCAGTCTCGGTCTAATTGTTAAAATGAGTATTTGATATTTTGTCTAAAGAGACATAACAAAGAGGTTTATTTAGCTTTTACATTTCTTTCAAGATCCATTGCTTATATTGGTATTTTTGGTGTTTGTTTTAATAATAGATTATAATGCATTTTATAGCAATATGAAGACAAATTCTAATAAAGGGGAAAGTATGCAAGTATTGTAAACAATGCATGGTTAAAAGCAAGGTTGCAAAAAACGCTCGACGTTAGCTAGTCGGTGGACTGGGGTCAAGGGATTAATCGGTTTGGCGGAGATTAATCGGGTACCATTAATTGCTAATTTGTTGAATTTTAAAAAATTTAATATGACTAATATCATATCAAAGTTTATAAATACCACTAATATGATAACAAAATAAGTTAATCTTCTCTACTAATAAAACAGTACTGAAAACGCCACTTGGCAGTCCCTTAGCCTCTCCACCTTACGTTTTCCCGCTCATATATTATAAGTGAAGTTCCCACTTTGCCCTTCTGTTCGAAAACATTTTCTACATCAGCAAACATGAATTATGAATAAGTAAATAATAAGTAAATAAGTAAATATGTAAATCAGGAAGTAAATCAGGAAATTTAAAATTGATTTCTGTCGAATATGCAATATCCATCCCAAAAAATCAGCTAATCAATTTAAATTCCATTATCAGCTAATCAATTTAAATTCCATATAGTGTCAATCCCTAAAAATCAGGCAATCAGTTTACGCATAGATGATATATTTCAATACAACTTGAGAAGTCAATACGATTCCTGTTAACGTGATTTATTCAATACGATTTCAGAGATCACATATTCATCGTTAGGTTACATTTCAGAGGTGACATATTCATCATCAGGTCAGCAAAACTACACTGTTCTTTACCTTTTCTGTTTCATCAGTTTTATATTTTGTTTTTTTCCCTGTTATGTATAAGAGAAAAGTTTTTGATACATATGTTTACAAGTAAAAAAACATCGATTCTTTAGTGTAAAAGATAAAAATCGCATAATCATGTTCACAAGTACAAAAAGCATTGATTCTTTAGTGTAAAAAAAGGGAAACACGTGTTATATTTTATAAAAAAAAATGATCTTAATGTTATGTTAACATCATGTGAAAAGTAGATGTCAGTAGTTTTCTATTCAAGTTTTAAAATCATCAGTTTTCTCACAAATACTTTAATAATAATAAAAATCAGTTTTCTCACAAATACTTTAAGAATACAGACAGGTAGGTAATTAGAACAAATATATGTTTTCTTTATACATTATTAGTAAAATGGCAATTTACTTTCTTTTTAGCGAATTTTTTTATAATCTAAACAATAAATTTTAGAGTTCAAATAACTGTTTCCCCTTACTTACCCTAATTAACTTAAACACATGATAAGAATGGATTTTTGTATCCATCAAAATCAAATAAATGGCAACGTACTACCTTTTTGGTTGATGTATGTATTTTTACTGTTTCCACTTAATTGCTGTTTCTTTTTGACTGTTTGGTTTTTTAATATAACTTTTTTTTTTTTATTTTCATTGCATATTATAAGTGTCAATTAAATAGCAATGTACTTTCTTCTTGGCTGTTTGATTGTTTTTTCCCTGTTATGTATAAGAGAAAAGTTTTTGACACATATGTTAACAAGTAAAAAAAACATTAATTAGAACAAATATATGTTTTATTTTTGGGATATCAGTTAAATAGCAATGTGCTTTCTTTTTGGTTGTTTGATTTTTTTTATTTTTTTTAATTTTTTATTGGTTGGTGATTATAAATTTCAAATTCAATGTAAACAATAAATTTAAAACGTCCATAGTATATGTTTTCTTTTTATATGCTAGAAATGCCTAAAATGTCCCTCCCACTCAGTTAAATGGCAATGTACTTTCTTTTTGGCTATTTCAATTTTTTTTAATCTAAACAATAAATTTTAAAAGAGGTATTTAAATTCAAGCGCTATTTAAAAGAGGATAGTTCAATTTACGTCAAGAAACCTAACGTCGCACAAAATACTTCAAAATTTAAGTTTGCTCATCCGGAATCAAAACTAAATTTTTATCACGATACAATTGTAAAAGATTGTGAAAACTTTTCTGGATCTGCACATGGCTTTCATTTTGTTGACTTCAATACTATCGTTTCTAACAACATCCTGGAGTCAAACTCTTTTGGTTGGTTTATTTAATATTAACTTTTGCTATATAACATCCTAAATTCTTTCTTCGTATTACAATTTGATATTTTATATTAAATTATATTTCCTTGCTTTTGTAGATATTATTGGACACATTTTTGAGTATGGGCATATGGATACCTCAGAACAAGATAAATCAAAACACAAGATGCTCTTGCATCTTCAAGATATAGAGTATTCACCATTATTACAAACAAGTAATATAGCTTCATTTATATTATTTACAATATTTGTTTATTATTTCAGGGATACTAAGCTTAAGATAACTTTGTGGGGTCATAATGCATACTACATGCATGATTTTCTTGCTAACAATAACAGTCTTGTTTCAGTTGTTGTTATTGTTCAATTTGCCAGGGTGAAGTTTATTAATGGTTTGTAACTATTTTTAACAAGCATAATCTAATATATATATATATATATATATATATATATATATATATATATATATATATATATATATATATTATTGAATAATCAAATTTATTTTGGCAGGTCGTCCTTTTTCATCCACCTACTTTGATGTTAGTAGGGTTTTCATAAACAATGATATCGATGAAATTACAATCTACAAAAACAAGTATTTTCATTTAGAATTTCCTATGTATTATAAGATTTATTTATTTCATACTATAATAAATTTAAACAAGTATTTTCTTAGCTTTCTTCCCCAATTCGCATTTTACTGTAAAATTCACATTCTTCATTCACCCTCTTTCTTCGCATGTTCCAGTCATTTTCTTTTTAGTTCATTCGCATTTGAGTTGTTTGTCTCACCAAATACGAAATGAATATTAACCATAATCACCTTCGTATCTTTAACCCCAATCCATACAACCTCATATGCGAAACCCAATTTTGATTTGTATTACCAAATGCGAACATTTTTGCTTTTACACGTGAACTGCATTTGACTCCAATATTGAACAAATCACATTTCACAGTCCTTCTTGACTTCGCATTTTTCTTCACGAATCGTCCCTCAATCAATAACCCAATTAACCCAATTGCTAATCGAAAATCAAAACTTATCTGTTTTCATATGCAAACCCAACTGATTGGCTTTTCAAAATCAAATTCGCAACTCCAAATCGTTCGATTATTCGCCCCAATTCCAAAATCAAATAACAGATCCTTCGTATGATTCATTTAATAACCAAGGCTTATTTTACTTCAAAATGACGATATTGCCCCTAAATTGATAAGTATTTCATATATCGCAATTAACAATTAAGACAAATCAATCAATCAATCAATTTGTATAAGAAAAATTTGAAATTCTTAGCTTTCTTCCCCAATTCGCATTTTACTGTAAAATTCACATTCTTCATTCACCCTCTTTCTTCGCATGTTCCAGTCATTTTCTTTTTAGTTCATTCGCATTTGAGTTGTTTGTCTCACCAAATACGAAATGAATATTAACCATAATCACCTTCGTATCTTTAACCCCAATCCATACAACCTCATATGCGAAACCCAATTTTGATTTGTATTACCAAATGCGAACATTTTTGCTTTTACACGTGAACTGCATTTGACTCCAATATTGAACAAATCACATTTCACAGTCCTTCTTGACTTCGCATTTTTCTTCACGAATCGTCCCTCAATCAATAACCCAATTAACCCAATTGCTAATCGAAAATCAAAACTTATCTGTTTTCATATGCGAACCCAACTGATTGGCTTTTCAAAATGAAATTCGCAACTCCAAATCATTCGATTATTCGCCCCAATTCCAAAATCAAATAACAGATCCTTCGTATGATTCATTTAATAACCAAGGCTTCTTTTACTTCAAAATGACCATATTGCCCCTAACTTGATAAGTATTTCATATATCGCAATTAACAATTAAGACAAATCAATCAATCAATCAATTTGTATAAGAAAAATGCGAAATTCTTAGCTTTCTTCCCCAATTCGCATTCTACTGTAAAATTCACATTCTTCATTCACCCTCTTTCTTCGCATGTTCCAGTCATTTTTTTTTAGTTCATTCGCATTTGAGTTGTTTGTCTCACCAAATACGAAATGAATATTAACCATAATCACCTTCGTATCTTTAACCCCAATCCATACAACCTCATATGCGAAACCCAATTTTGATTTGTATTACCAAATGCGAACATTTTTGCTTTTACACGTGAACTGCATTTGACTCCAATATTGAACAAATCACATTTCACAGTCCTTCTTGACTTCGCATTTTTCTTCACGAATCGTCCCTCAATCAATAACCCAATTAACCCAATTGCTAATCGAAAATCAAAACTTATCTGTTTTCATATGCGAACCCAACTGATTGGCTTTTCAAAATCAAATTCGCAACTCCAAATCGTTCGATTATTCACCCCAATTCCAAAATCAAATAACAGATCCTTCGTATGATTCATTTAATAACCAAGGCTTATTTTACTTCAAAATGACGATATTGCCCCTAACTTGATAAGTATTTCATATATCGCAATTAACAATTAAGACAAATCAATCAATCAATCAATTTGTATAAGAAAAATGCGAAATTCTTAGCTTTCTTCCCCAATTCGCATTCTACTGTAAAATTCACATTCTTCATTCACCCTCTTTCTTCGCATGTTCCAGTCATTTTTTTTAGTTCATTCGCATTTGAGTTGTTTGTCTCACCAAATACGAAATGAATATTAACCATAATCACCTTCGTATCTTTAACCCCAATCCATACAACCTCATATGCGAAACCCAATTTTGATTTGTATTACCAAATGCGAACATTTTTGCTTTTACACGTGAACTGCATTTGACTCCAATATTGAACAAATCACATTTCACATTCCTTCTTGACTTCGCATTTTTCTTCACGAATCGTCCATCAATCAATAAACCAATTAACCCAATTGCTAATCCAAAATCAAAACTTCTGTTTTATATGCGAACCCAACTGATTGGCTTTTCAAAATGAAATTCGCAACTCCAAATGGTTCGATTATTCGCCCCAATTCCAAAATCAAATAACAGATCCTTCGTATGATTCATTTAATAACCAAGGCTTATTTTACTTCAAAATGACGATATTGCCCCTAAATTGATAAGTATTTCATATATCGCAATTAACAATTAAGAAAAATCAATCAATCAATCAATTTGTATAATAAAAATGCGAAATTCTTAGCTTTCTTCCGCAATTCGCATTCTACTGTAAAATTCACATTCGTCATTCACCCTCTTTCTTCGCATGTTCCAGTCATTTTTTTTTTAGTTCATTCGCATTTGAGTTGTTTGTCTCACCAAATACGAAATGAATATTAACCATAATCACCTTCGCATCTTTAACCCCAATCCATACAACCTCATATGCGAAACCCAATTTTGACTTGTATTACCAAATGCGAACATTTTTGCTTTTACACGTGAACTGCATTTGACTCCAATAATGAATATTAACCATAATCACCTTCACATCTTTATGTTGATTATTTTAAACATGGAACATTTATGTCTATTATTTATAATAACTATTATTTTTGTCACGATAAATATGCTATTTTTAATAAATAATCAATAACCAATTGTAAACAAAATTTATATCTTTGATTCTCTAAAATTAATTCATACATTTTTGTAATGGTTGCAGCATATTTACTTATCTTCTGTAAATAACCTATATTCAACCAACTATTTCCTAATATTCTATACTCCTTTTTAGATGAAATTTGAATATTAAACTAATTTTTAGTTGTAATCTTTTAAATTCCAAAAAATCAGGAAGAAAATTATATCTAATAAAGATCCAACAACAATAAAATCATATAATCGTAATCACATGGCCAATTGTATGTTGCTTTATCTAGAGTCCAAAGTAGGGACGGATTAAAATTGTTAATTTTAGATAAGGATGGTAGTCTCACAAATAAAACTTCCAATGTCGTTTATAAGGAAGTTTTTGGGAATTTATAAACAATGCTTTTCTACCATCTTTTATTTACTTTTCTACCATCTTTTATTTACTTTTCTTGTATCGTACTTCATCTATCATATTAATTAATTAATTTTTACAACTTTATTGTATTTGACTTATTCATATTAATGCTAATATCACTATTCTTCATTTTTTCTAAACTTTCATATCTTTTTTTTGTTACAAATTAAAAACTATAATTATATTTCAATTTATCACCCGTGGATTCCACGGGTTTAAACCTAGTATGATTAATACAACACTAATTATGCCTCAAATAGTTTCCATTGAGATAAACTTCTTCAAAATGTTAAAATTTCATCGTTTTATAATATTTCATTCATTATGTATGCAGAGGTTAATCGCTAGGCGCCCTCTAATCAGTCGAGTAGTGCCTATGGATTAATCGGAGATTAATTGGAACCTAGTCGAGATTTTTACAACAGTAGTTAAAAGAAACGATTTAAGAACAAAAATATTAAAAGAATGGGTGAAATTGGGCATCGTCGGTTGTGGTACTGGGTCTTAACATGTGTTGGGCATGCTAACTAGGCCTAGACCATTGTATACTTTTGGGCTTTTAAGTGGGCCTGAACCCTCTTGAATTAGGCTTGTGGTTTCAGCATGTCCGTCATACGAACCAGGCTAGACGTTGATGGTAAGCTAGAGTTACACAAAAAGATTAGTCTCCGACTTGACTTGATGTGAAAAGACCAAGATTTTATGTGTTTCAAACGAGAGCGAACCGAAAAAAGATTGGTACTAAAAAAGACCGGTCCGATATTGTCCATGGTAAAAAATAAAAAATACAGACTGTTCCAAGACCGGCCATAACATTGTGAGAGCTACCGAAGACCGGTCTTAAAAAACACCGGTAACCACAATTTATAAACATATAATTTTTATGTTCATTACACAATTTTTAATCACACATTATCTAACTTTTCTTTCCTTTTTTTATTATTATATTAAACTTAAGTGTATCATTTTTAATAAATCATAATCTATCATTATGGTGTTGATCACATATTTGTTAGGAGAAAAAAGTGAAACTGAAAACAAAAAAATCAAAAAATACTGAAATCCAACCAAAAAAACACACGGAAAGAGCGTGAGATTGGACCAAAAAGACCGAGACCAGACCAAAGAAAAGACCGGTGACGAGAAAAACGCTACCAAAAAAAGACCAACCCAAAATCGTCTGGACTAGTTCGAAAAATATCGGATCATTGCAAGACCAATCCCAAATGACCAGACTGTTTCGAGACCAACCCAAGACCGGTGTGGGACTGCCAATGTGCAACTGTAGTTAGCGGTCCTATGGTCCCGATGTTCATGCCCATAAAAGGTTGGAGAGGGCCTACAAAAACTCAATCTTTTAATTGTTTCTGAAAAAATTGAAGTAAATGTTTTAAAATCTTTTTGAACCGATTAAAAGTATATTTTTTTGGAATTAGTAGGAAAAAAGACTAAAAGTATCACATTTAAAAGTTATCTTGATGTTTTTCATTTGATCTTCGTAGTTTTCAACTCTTCATCATCGATGTGGCTTCAAACTTAATTGGTGAGATTCTAACATTTGTGATTTCATTTTGAAGTGTTTCAT